CTCTTCGCTGCCGATGCTGCACCTATCCGCCTATCGATCTCACTCTCCATTTTTCCCTCATTCGTGAACAAGACCCCGAGATACTTAAACTCCTCCACTTGGGGCAGGACCTCCTCCCCGATCCGGAGAGGGCACTCTACCCTTTTCCGGCTCAAGACCATGGCCTCGGATTTGGAGGAACTGATCCTTATCCCGGCCGCGTCACACTCGGCTGCAAACCACTCCAGCGAAAGTTGTAGATCACGACCTGATGAAGCCAGTAGGACCACATCATCTGCAAACAACAGAGAAACGATCCTAAGGCCACCAAAATTTATCTCCTCAACACCTTGGCTGCGCCTAGAAATTCTGTCCATAAAAATTATGAACAGAATCGGTGACAAAGGGCAACCTTGGCGGAGTCCAACTCTCACTGGGATTGAGCCCGACTTACTGCCGGAAATGTGGACCAAGCTCTGACACCGGTCGTACAGGGACCTAACAGCCTGTATCAAAGGGCTGGTACTCCATACTCCCGGAGTACCCCCCACAGGGCTCCCCACAGGGCTCCCCAAGGGACGCGGTTGCACGCCTTCTCCAAGTCCACAAAGCACATGTAGACTGGTTGGGCAAACTCCCACGCACCCTTCAGGACCTTGCTGAGAGTGTAGAGCTGGCCCAGAGTTCCACGACCAGGACAAAAACCACACTGCTCCTCCTGAATCCGAGGTTCGACTATCCGACGGACCCTCCTCTCCAGAACCCCCAAATAGATCTTATCAGGGAGGCTTAAAAGCGTGATCCCCCTGTAGTTGGAACACATTCTACGGTCCCCCTTTTTGAATAGGGGGACCACCACCCCAGTCTGCCAATCATGGGGAACTGCCCCTGATGTTCACACAATATTGTAGAGTTGTGTAAGCCAACACAACCCCACAACATCCAGAGCCTTAAGGAACTCCAGGCGAAGCTCATCCACCCCTGGAGCGCTGCCACCAAGGAGCTTTTTAACCACCTCGGTGACCTCAGCACCAGAGATTGGAGAGCCCGACCCAAGGTCCCCAGCCTCTGCTTCCTCAGTGGAAGACGTGCCAGTGGGATTGAGGAGTTCTTCGAAGTATTCTGCCCACCGGCCCACAACATCCCGAATTGAGGTCAGCAGCACACCACCTCCACTATAAATAGTGTTGGTGGCGTACTGCTTTCCCCCCCTGAGATGCCGGATGGTGGACCAGAATCGCCTCAAAGCCGTACGGATGTCATTCTCCATGGCCTCTCCAAACTCCTCCCATGCCCGAGTTTTTGCCTTAGCGACCACACGAGCCGCATGCCGCTTGGATTGCCGGTACCCATCAGCTGCTTCCGGGGTCGCACAGGCCAAAATGGCTCGATAGGACTCCTTCTTCAGCCTGACAGCATCCCTTACTGCTGGTGTCCACCACCGGGTTCAAGGGTTACCGCTGTGACCGGCACCGATAACCTTGCGGCCACAGCTCTGATAAGCCACCTCGACAATAGAGGCGCGGAACATGGCTCACTCGGACTCAATGTCCCCCGCCTCCTCCGGAACGTGTTGGAAGCTCTCCAGTGGGTGGGAGGTGGGAGTTAAAGCTTCGTCTTACGGGGGACTCTGCCAGACGTTCCCAGCAGACCATCACAATATGTTTGGGTCTGCCAGGTCTGACCGGCATCCTCCCCCACCATCTGAGCCAACTCGCCAACAGGTAGTGGTCAGTGGACAGCTCCGCTCCTCTCTTTACCAGAGTGTCCAAGACATGTGGCCGCAGATCAGCTGAGACGACAACAAAGTCGATCATCGAACTGCGGCCTAGGGTGTAATGGTGCCAAGAGCACATATGGAAACCCTTATGCTTGAACATGGTGTTCGTGATGGACATTCCATGACGAGCACAGAAGTCCAACAACAGAACACCTCTCGGGTTCAGATCAGGGGTGCTATTCCTCCCAACCACACCCCTCCAGGTCTCACTGTCATTGCCCACATGAGTAAAAAACAGGCAATCTCCAAAATGCAGATTTTTTTTCCAAGAATTAAATTGGAATAAATAATAGCTTGATGAAGTCTACCCATTAATCTACCCAGTAGTCTAATATTGCAAAGATAAAAAAATATCTCCACCTAAACTTGAGCAAAATAGAAGAATTGGAGTGTTATTTTGTGTTGGTGTTTATAAGAACTGAAAATTTCACAAGCAGGTAAAATGAGACACTCTGCAAAATCTTTGAAAGACTCTTCATTTTGTTATATTCTGCTTTTAAAGGCTGTAAAAAATAAGTGACCTTGAGAAATATTTATTCAGACATCTTTTGACATTGGCTGCTTTTCAAGTCCAGTCCTTGCACCTAAGCATTTTCTAAATAATGTTTTTTTTTTCTTACTTTTATTAACAAGCCAATTTATTAATCACCAATGAATCATTAAAGAATAATAAACAAGCACATTCCAGGCAACTTACGTAAAATATTTCATCTAGGACTTTTAGTCTTTACAAGAACTAGGCAAAATGCAGAGGTGCATTTTTTGCACTTATTCCCATAAGCTTTAGCAAACCTAAAAACACAACTGCAAACGTAAAACATTTGCTTAAAAACTTGAATACACTCATACTTTGCACATTTAGAAGCTGCAGTTGGACTGCAGTAAAAAATGTGTGCATTATAAAAAACATTTTCAGAACCATAAATTAAATAGATCATATAGACTATTTGTAATTGCTGAACTATTACTTTAACATTCATGTAGCTGCTGGTTTGATATGACTGTTAGTGAAAAGTGTTCCTATTCAAACTTTATTGTCTGGTAATTGTACTGTAACTTTGTTTCCCAACATTATTAGAATAGAAATGAACATTAAAGCTCCTCCTTGCCGGCCTGTCATCACTTCTTTCTGAATCGTACTCTGGTTGACTCATTGGAAATAGACCCAGTCACTGCAGCTGTTATGGTGCACATGTTTTCACATTATTTTAAATTGTATATTTATGTTCACATTCACATTACAGTAGTTCCTCACTACTTTGCGGTTCGCTTTTCCCATACTCGCTCTATCGCTGTTTTTCAAAGTAAGATTGGACATGACACACAATTGCTGATTGATGAGGAGCCGCATGATCGGCATGGCATTTTTATTTACAATAAATTATTTAAAATTATTTAGCACCTGCTCCAACCTGTGTGCAGCCCACAGCTACAGAAGCTCCCTCCTGCAGCGTGTCATATCTCCACTCTGCAGCAGAGAAGTGGGCGTGGCCAAGAGCACTGGCAGGTGGCAGAGAGCAGCGGAAGCAGAGAGCTGAAATCATGACATTCTGTGCTTTTTTAGAGCATTTAAAGTTTAGAACATTGCAAGAGTGTGGGAAGGGTTTAAAATGCCCTCATATATGTATATATAAATACTAAAATAAACTACTACTTACTACTTGTACTACTATTCCTACTTCGCGGTTTTTCACTTATCGCGGGGCTTCAGGGTACGAATCCCCCGCGCCAAACGAGGGACTACTGTATTTTACTTTGTAACGGAGGGGATTTCAAATGTAACAAAGTAGAATACTTGGGGAGGGAAGCATATTCAGGTAATAGTATCAATTCAAGTTTCTTACTTAAAAAAAAGGCAAAAATAAACAACACTTATACTTCTTTACAGTAACACAAGTAAATGTAATTTACTGCTTTTGACCTCTGGTAACGTATAAAATTGTCCATCCATCCATCCATTTTCTTTACCCGCTTGTTCCATTTTGGGTCACTGGGGTCGCCGGTGCCCATGTCACTGTGCGAGGGGCGGGGTACACCCTGGACGGGTCGCAAGTCCATCACAGGGACACATAGAGACAAACGAGACAAACAACCATTCACTTTCTCACTCACACCTACGGACAATTTAGAGTTACCAATCAGCCTAACATGCATGTTTTTGGTCTGTGGGAGGAAACCGGAGTACCCGGTGAAAACCCACGCATGCACGGAGAGAACATGCAAACTCCACCCAGAAAGGCCCCTGGACCGGGGTTTGAACCAGGGACCTGCTCGCTGAGAGGCAGCAGCTCTACCAGTTGCGCCACCGTGCTGCCCTGTATAAAATTGTAGTTTTGTAAAATCAAGATTATTACTAAAAATCTGTTACATGAAAACTTGTACTCTGACAGTGATTGTCAAAGTTTTTATAACAAATACTTTTTATTTCGCCTGTTCCCTGTTCAAGGGTTGCCATAGCGAGTCATCCTCAACTCCTTACCGATGTCTTTTGGGTGGCTGTGGTTGAGTGGTTAGAGCAGTCATCCTCCACTGAGAGAGTTGGTGGTTCGATTCCACCAGCAGTCACATGCTGAAGTGTTCCTGGGCAAGACACTGAACCCCTCATTGCCTCCGATGTGTGTCCCATTAGTGTATGATGCGACAAAGCTCTGATTATTCTTTGTACAGATATAGTAGAGTGCTGTATGAATGGGTAAATGGGGGCACAGCCTCAAGCTCTTTGAGTATCTTCACAAGATAGAAAGGTGCTATATAAGTACAGTCCATTTACCCTTTTGAGTACCACTAAAAAGTACAGAGTGCTTGTACTGTGGTTTGAGAACCATGGCAATAGACAATAAACTCAAGGGTGAGGCCTGTGCTAATTTTTTAAAATTTCTTGATTTGTATTTATGTATGTACCGGTATATGTAATATATATATATATATCAAATACAAATTGTCAGCTTAATGTTCTGATTTTTTTACACCACTGAACAGTTTTCAGAATACCTTGTTGAACCATGCCAAGCTTTCTTCTTATAGAACACTGAAAAAAAGAGTCAAAGTGCAGCCAATTTTTAGGAAAAACCTTAGAAAGCCAGGAGAACTCAACAGAAGATCACTACTGGAGATTATAAGACAGAGTGGCATTAAAGACAAGGAGGAGCAGCTCTTGACTTGTACTACATCTGCTGATATGTTTTGAACATTATGAACAATAAAAGGGGAGTTGGTCATGTACAATCTGTCATTTGTCCAGGTGTTTGAATCAAATGAAGGAGGATGGCTTGTCTGTAGATGATCTGTTCAGCCAGTGTGTGTTCCAACAAGATGAGAGAGACTTGCTGCTTAAAGCCATTCGCAATGTAATGCCTGACTACCAACCCAGTCTCAACCTGCAGACAACCCAGTGTCATTCACCTCTGGTTCAGGACTTCTATACACAGGTATGGTAGAATGGTTATTTTGAAAACTTTGTCCTACTCTGCAGATGTCATCTGAACCTTCAAGTTGTCAATTCATATGTTAAATTTCAATTATTTTACTTCTTAAACCAAAATTAGTGGATGTCGGTGAGTATTACATGCATATTTATACTATGTAGAAAGCCTGCATCAACACTTTGGTACTTCAAAGAATGTTGACTTACAGGGTTCTGAATTATTTTGATGGGGACCGCCTTACATGTTTTGCCAGTCGAGACACTAGAGAGCAGGGAAGGATGTCACAAGGCTCCAGTGTGACAACAAAAAATTTGATTGTCACCCCTTAACAACCAGAAAGGCACAGGGCTATTTATAGTCAAGTAGCTCTGCTTTCTAATGGCTTTCTGCTTGTGTTCCCTCGTTTCCTCTCACCTCTCCTCCCTTTTTACCACCTTTCTTCTTCTTGGGATGTTCACATGATTCATTAACAGTTTTTCAAACAATTGTAGTATTTTTAGCCTCTGTCCGTGCACCATTTACACTGTTTGTTTGTGATACCAATATTTTTGGCCTGTGTAAGATTGCAGTAATCATTCAGTAAAATATATGTTTATCCTAAGATACATAGTAAGAACCCCATCTTTCAGTTTGTAAAAAACAACACATTGCACAGTCATTATTTAACTAAAATTAAGATTAAATGTTGAGTCTGTTGAAGATTTATTAGCTTTCCTGAATTTCCCTTGGGATCCGTAAAACCACTGTCTAATCTAATCTGGCTTGTAGAAGCACTTTTAGCAGCGATTAATTACTTCAACTAATTATATTCTAAATGACGTTTTCAGTTTTTCACAGTTTAGAAAATTGACTCACAATTCTTTACAAATTTGCCACAGTTTATTGAGTTTAGCTCACATTTGTTTCGACTGAGCTCTTTAAGGGTCGGTATCTTGAGTCCTTTTTCAAGACATTATGTTGCGTATTTCCTATTGTGTTTAGGATTTTTGTCTCGTTCCGTGTTTCGATTTTTTTCAGCAGTTGATGAGCTCAGATTTAATTCTAGGTTATTTCGATACATAGTGGAGTTTATGTGTGACTTATTGACTTGAAAGGGTTTAGGTCCTGTGGCTGCAAAACAAGCCCAATTTATCAACATTCATGTGCACTCACATTCTCATGTTTAGCTGTTGGTTTAAAGGGCTGTATTGATATTCTGTTAGGCTTTTACCATAATGTGTGGTACTGTGAAAGATATGGCCAAACATCTCTACACTTTTATTTTGAACTGCACTGCATCTTTTCAAACCTGAACTATGCTGGCTATTTTAAACTTTTTTTTTTAAGAACAAATGGACGTTTTCTGGCATTTCTTCCATACAAGTGATATCTCTTGTATTCTGTTATGAGCTTAACTGAGGCCAGTCACATCTGGGTTGTTGTTTGGATTTTTGCACTTTTTCCAAGCGTTGTAAGGTCAGACATTAAGTGAATCTGCTGGGACGGCCACTTCTGGGAAGATTTTCAGCTATCATAACACTTTGGGAAACTTCTTCTCACTGTACATGGGCTTCTAACGCTTGATTCATTTAGAGCAGCAGTTGCTTATAGTCACATGTGCCCGTTGCTTCATCGAACTGTAAAAACCTTCTGTTTTTATTAGTACATTTTTGTCTATAATATTAGCAGTTTAAATGGCTACTTAAACTTTAAGCTTATTCATAATTAGTATGAATGTCTTTAGTCACTGGATGTATTTAGTTTATGGAATTTATTTTATTGAACTATGCTAGTTGGCTGGCTGGCAGTAAGTAAGTAAATCAGTCAGTCAGTAAGTAAATGTAAGTAAGTAAGAAGGTAATTAAGTAAGTAAAAGCAAGTACCGTATTTTCCGCCGCTGTACCCATCGCACCGCCCTATAAGTCGCATCAGTCCAAATATGTCCCAAAAAAAAGTGAAAAAAATCCATAAATATGTCACTTTGCATATGTATACGTTGCATCTATTATGCGTCTCCGCTGATGCGTCGCATTTGTTTTGCATCACTGCTGACAACCCGGAAATGTGGGCTGGTGTGGTGCCAAAAATCAATGGGCTGCCAAATGGCGGCTGAGTATTTTAACAAGAATTTAACAATATAAGCACTTAAAAGCAATTATTTGTTTGCTCGAAATGATAGTAAAGGTGTGTCTCAGTCTAACTTTTCCTTATTAAATGCATTTGACGGTCAAATCATCTGTATTTTAAAAAAAGATACGCGGAAGCGGCGGGCATGGGCATAGGGATGAGCCTCCGCATTTCTTCAAAATTTAACAAGAAAAGCTCCTAAAAACAATTATTTGTTTGCTCAAAATTATAGTAAAGGTGTGTCTCAGTCTAACGTTTGCTTAATAAAAGGACTTTAACTGTCAGATCAGCTGTATGCGCTGCCTCAGTGCTCCAGGAGCACGCAGAAAGAGGAAAAAAAGGAAGGAACGCTGCTCGTTTCTTTGAAATTTAACAAGAAAAGCATCTAAAACAATTATTTGTTTGCTCGAAATTATAGCAAAGGTGTGTCTCAGCTGAACTTTTGTTTAATAAATGCAGTTTAATAGGTAAATTAGCTGCATTTCGCCAGGGCAGTGCAGCTGGTTTGATGGGGTTGCTCCAAGCAGCGAGCAGAACAAAGGTAGGGGGACTATGGTAAGCCGATTGTGTCATTAATAGCTGTTGAAGATTCTCAGTCATCCAGGACATGGTAAATTCAAAAAGGTTCAAGACAAAAACAATAAAATAGAAAGTATAATAAATAAAATCCAGTTGTTTTTGTCTTGAACTTTTTTGAATTTGTCATTATAGCCACGTTTACCTATTACATGATACAACGGCATGCCTTACTGCTACTTCTACTCTGCTGCCATCTAGTTGCTGAAAATGGTACTGTTCAATTTTTTTGGTCTGAATAAATAAAAATGGTCATATCTCAGTCAAAAATTGGTTTATAAATATGGGAAAAAAAATCCATAAATACGTCGCTTCAGCCTATAAGTCACAGGGCATGCAAATTTCGCATAAAACCGCGACTTCTAGGCCAAAAAATATGGTAAGTAAGTCATAATAATAACTAATAATAATAACCTTTATTTAACCAGTTTTGTCCCATTGAGATCAAAAGATCTATTTTATAAGAGAGACCTGGCCAAGACTGGCAGGATACAGAGAGAGGGGGAAAAAAGCACTGTTACAACACAGTCACAATAAACATAACAAATGACTCAATGCACTTCTGTAACTTGAACATTATGCGCTGTCATGGTACTGAATACCAGTACATTCAGAGATACTAGTGTTTGCAGTTCAATTTGTTGACCATCACGTCACTAGTGGTGATGAGAGACTGGTTTGACCTTGCTGATGTTGAGTTGCTGAAAAACTTTAGCTGTTTTGTCAACATTCAAAACAAGTTGAAGCTGACAAAGTTGTTCTTGTATTCTGTTAAATGCATTCTGCATGTATGCAAACACTTCTGTGGGCGTAGGTGCAAAGCAATATATGACTGTGTCATCTGCATAAAAATGAATTGCTGCATTTGAAATATCCTTTCCAAAATCATTAATATACAAGATAAGTTTAAAGCTGTTTAAAAAAGTAAAAGGAAGGAAGGGGAGAGAGAAAGTTAATTTGTTCCTTTGTAGGAATGAAGGAAGGAAGGAACGAGAAAGTTTGTTTGTTCGAACTAACAATTTGTAACATCTGTAACAATAATTATGTTCCCATTTTGTTACCTCTGGTATGAATCGCACTTATAAATGCAGCTGTTTGATTATCTAACCACGACTTTGAGTGTTTGGCAGGTCACAGTAGCTTAAAGTCTGCCCAAATAACTGGTCCAATAAGAGAGCAGCCTGCACGGCCTCTAGAGACGTTTGTTTCACTGTTTGCAGCAGACGCTCTGTCTAATTAGAACATTGTTTGTTGGTGTGAAATGGACTTTTGATGAAGCTGTAGATCATACAAAATGCAGTTTGATCTAGTTTCAACTTGTCCTCAGAAATTATCGTGTTTTTCCAGCAATTATTTATTTTTTCATGCAGTGTCTGCTGTAATGCTGCTTATTTTGCTGTACTATGGACGGAAAAGTGCTTAATTTTTATGTGTAAAATGTATTTAGCTTAAACTTAAACTCACGTTTTACAAGAGTATTGCATTAACAAAATTTTGAAATAAATGTAGAAAATTGTACATAAATACTTTATCAAGTAGTTTTTTTTGTTTGTTTGTTTTAAACTTTGTACTTTTAGGAACTAGTGATTTAACTGTAAAGTGGTTTGGTCAAATGTCTTGTACTTTGGATCTGAAAATAAAGTTCTTTTGAGTTTTGTTGAAGCTTTTCAGAACTGCAATCTTTGATGACGTGTGCTAACTTCATTGAATAGATTAGTTACACATGCAGAGAGACTTTTAGTACAGTTTTTAGCTTACAACTAGTAATTTATAAACATTTGTCAGGTTAATTTACCTCCACTTTTCATATTATATCAACCATGTTTTAAATAAAACTGTATTTATGGCTGTTAGGAGAGTTTTTGTAGACTACAGCTGTACATTTGTGCAAAGGAAACGTTGGGTGTGTCAGTACATACACAGTCACCGTTCAACAATTCAGTAATGCATGTGTAGGCCACACACACTACGCAGATGGTGTGGAGTCATCATAAATGTTTGGTTTTCATGCACGTGAGAATAAATGAGGTGACCTGCAGTCATCTGATGGAAAACATGTTACCAATGCTGCAGGTTTCCTGCTCTGCTGTGTAATGTTCAGCTGAGCCTTATAAATACACCAGTTAGAGACATAATATCTCTCTTTTTTGTGTGTTTGCTTGATCTTTGTTGGTGTATTTTAGAGGGAAAACCACTCCTACCCCAAACTTGACTTCACCCAGGAGGACCTCCAGGGGCGTTTTAAACGTCAGCTCAGTGTGGAGGAGGCCTGCACCATCACCATCGATTCTGTTGAGGCTGTCAAGCCCATCACCAACACCATGGCAAAAATGGTAAATTAAATCTCTCATATCTTTCATGTGTGTGTGCGTGTGTGTAAATCCCTCAGTAATGGAGGACATTGGCGTACTGCATTGTTTTTTGGATTTGTGCATTTTTGGATATCAAACGAGGCACATTTCCAATAAAACATGACATCCTGTCACACATAACAGTTTACAAACCTCTTTTCAATAGTATATTTGATGTTGCAATAGTTTATTTGTTTTTTTTTTTTAGATTATTGCTTTATACTTTCAAATAAATGCTTTAAAATGATTTTAATCCAAGAACATGTGAAATGTGAAAGTACAAAACATCCTATTCTTGTACTGTTCCTGTTTTCCAACTCTGGCATTTACAGCCCAGCTTGGCTTGTCTGCTTCTGCAGATGGGTTATGTGGAAAGCGAGCAGGCTGAGCGTCCCTGGTGGTCAGGCAGCATTTAAAGATTGCCAGGGCTGAATATTTATGCAGTGTAATGGAGCCCTATCTGGAGAGTGCAGTCACCTCTCCATCCGCAATGTGGACCGTTTCTTTTTCAGTATCTAACTTCTCTTATTCCATATGGTGCAACAAAGATACTGCGTACAATACTGTTGAAACCTGGCTTAAATATGTTGTCATACGCAATAATTATGTACAAAAAGTACGAAGGTGTTTGAGTGGCTTCTAATCTACAAATAAGAGTAAAACCATCATATTTAAAATACTATACTTTTCTAGTTAGGCTGCTGTTGAAACTTTAAACACATGACATGTTGCTTAATTAAAAACTGTCAAATCTGAAAGGTATCTTTTTGTTGTAAAAAAAAAAAAGAGTTTCATTTGCTGAAGTTAGCTGGGGATAATTTTAGTTGAACTATTTCGCTAACATTTAAATAAAAATGGCTAGTTTTGTAAATTTTACGTTGCAAAGTGTGACTTTTGTATAGCCTAAATACTTTTTCTGTTCAAAATAAATCAATTTGTTACAGTATTGTGTTATTAATGTATACATTTTGTTATTGACAGCGGTCTTGCCTTTTATTTCAAGGGAATGTTACTAAAGCTTCCTAAAAAGAACTTGCTACATGACATTGTTTTAATTCTCAAATCTTTAATGTATTTAATTCACATTTTCATTATTTTGTTGTGTCAGCTCTTTAAATCTGTTTATTTCTGTCCCACTCTCCTTGATCACATATGCTGTTTTTGAGTTTAGTCAAGTTCTTTTTAAAACTCTTGTATGCATTTATTGTTGTTGTCTGCAGGTGAAAAGAAATCTTTAATTTTCTCTGAAAAAGCTACGTGAATAAACTGGTTCTCATCAAATCATTTCAAGAATGCTGCTTCATCTGCACATAACAACAAACTAAATAAAGACAGTTATATTTATTACACAACTTAAAAGTGAGGTGTTTTACCAGCAAGTGAAGCTTAATTACTTTGGGTCATTTTAGGGGTTACTTCTTTGCTTTTAAGAAAATGCTTAAAAAAAAGTACTGGTAAGTACACAGTTTGATGAAGTTGACACTTTCCCAACACAGTTAATATTATGTGTAAAGTTGGTTTGCTGCTACAGATTTTAATTAACAACACGAGTAGTCAGAGAGCAGAACTAATGTTTCCATGTTAAGTGTGACATTTTACACCACACAGTACTGCTGTGGTTCTCAAACTGAGGTCCCTGGTCTCCTGGTGGTCCATGAGTCAGTGCTTGGGGGTCCGACACATTTTTTATTTTTTTTTACAAGCGCATAGATGTTAACAACTTGTTAAAATACACCAAAATGCAGGAAATCACATACTTTTGGACAAACTATCCACACTAGGACTAAGCCCCTCCATCTGCAACTGGGTACTAGACTTTTTAACAAACAGACCACAGTTAGTGAGGATCCACAACTTCTCCTCCTCCACCATAACCCTCAGCACTGGCTCTCCTCAGGGATGTGTGTTGAGCCCCCTCCTGTTTACTCTGCTCACATATGATTGTGCAGCTACCCATCCAGGCTGTCACATTGTAAAGTTTGCAGATGATACAGCGGTGGTGGGATGCATCACAAACAATGATGAGTCCAGCTACAGGCAAGAGGTGGAACACCTGGAGAGCTGGTGCAGAGAGAATAACCTTCACATCAATGTGAAGAAGACAAAGGAGATGATTGTGGACTTCAGAAGGAACAAAAACACCTACACCCCCCTGAACATAAGAGGATCTGCGGTGGAAGTGGTCTCCAGCTACAAGTACTTGGGTGTACACATGAATGACAACCTCAGCTGGAGCAACAACACCACCAGCCTGATCAAGAAAGCTCATCAGAGACTCTACTTCCTCAGACGGCTGAGGCGAGCTGGTCTGGGAAGCTCAGTCCTCACCTCCTCCTACAGGTGTGCAGTGGAGAGCATCCTGTGCTCGAGCATCAATGTGTGGCATGGAGGCTGCACAGCTGCAGAAAGAAAAGCTTTGCAGAGAGTGGTGAAGGCTGCACAGAAATCTGTCGGAATCAGCCTCCCCACCATCACAGACATCTACACCTCCAGATGCAGGAAGAGGGCCACCTGCATCATGAAGGACCCCACTCACCCAGCACACACACTTTTTGCCCCACTCCCCTCAGGAAGGAGGTTAAGGAGCATAAAGTGTAGAACCACTAGACTGAGGAACAGCTTCTACCCTGAGGCTGTTAGACTCATGAATCTCTAACTAGAATAATCACTGTGAAAAACCATATCATGTTGCTGCTGATCTGTTTCATGTTGCTGCTGATCTGTTTTAATGTTGATGTGTTCATGCGTGCACATCTGCTCACAGACTCATGTTCATGTTTGTGCTGATGTTCAATGTTTTATGTTATGAGTGCTTAATGTATATTTAGTTGATGTTTTTCTTAGTTCATATCTTAGATGTTATTACTGTTTTTCTTATACATTTTATTGATGGATGTAACTGGGACCCTGTGTACATAATTTCGCTCCACCACATGTACCACATGAGGTGCGAATGACAATAAAGAAACTCCGACTCTGACTCTGACTTTATTCAAAATTTTCTGGGGGAGGACCCCCAGCCCCCTAGCCCGCCCACTATTTGTGTTCTGGCATCGATCTGTGTACAAATGAAGTCCTGTTACTTGGTCTGACTACTGCTGTTATGATTCTGTTCAGTTTTCTGTAACAATTTAAAGAAGTGTCAATACATTTATTATGTTCATTATGTGAATAGGTAACATTTTAAAGTGGTTTTTGATGCTGTTAATTTACTCAAAACTAATTTTTGGAAGTTGAAATAAAAAATGTTGTTAATTAAGTGTGTCTTGAATGAAAAATACCCCATGTTTAAAAGTATAAAAAATATATTAACACTATTAAAGAACAGGTCTTCAGTATTTATGTTAAACAAATATTTCCATTGCATTAAAGAGACAAAAAAAAAAAAAATAATAATAATAATAATAAACATGAGGGTTATGAAGGGGTCCCTGAAACTTTTTCTCCTCTCTAAGGGGGTCCCTGAACCCAAACAGTTTGAGAACCCCTGCAGTACTGAACTGCCTCTGTTTGTTGTATTAAATTATCAAAGAAGAATTGTGGTGCATTTATAACTTTTTTGCACATAGCCCCTGTGTGAAAAGCCCCAACATATTCTGTTCTAATAATGATCTATTTAATAATAATTTGTTGTTCCTGCTGCTGCTTCATGACCAGTTTGTTTATGTTTCCACAAAACAGCTACATTTATTGTTCAATTTCCATCTTTTTTAATTTGAAGCCACTAGAATGTGGTAATGAATAATTAATAAATTTGATATTTCCCCATGTTTGTCTTTGACTGAGATAGATTTGAGAGAAGCTAAAAGGATTTTTCATTTTCATTAAATGAATTAGTGGCACAATTTTGTTACTCAGGGGAGAACTTTTTTTTTTTTTTTGAACTTTTATCATCAAATACAGTTCACAGCCATGCTGCACAATCACTTGGCCTCTAGAGCAGAAAAATATTTTTTCTTCATAATTTGCACGGTCTTCAGTTTGGACCATATTTCAATGAAGGCTTTAGGATGGTTCATTTTATTTCAGCGATTTCAGATGAATGACTTCCAGTTGTGTTGTCTTTCAGAGGGTCCTGCTGGCAGAGCAGCAGGCACAGTGGCGCAAGGTCCTCCTGCAGGCCCTTGTGGAGAGCAAGATGACATTGGCAAAAACCAGCGGCAGCAAGCTTAACCTTTATCCATATCTCTGTCTGCTGGAGGACATGGAGTACATTGACATTATGATACAGGTAATACAAGGCAGTGTGGACAACCTACCGCTCAAATAAATGTCAAAAATCAAGGATGTCACACAGACTCATCTTTTTTGTATTGGATCTTTTGATTTACAACAAAATAATTTAACAATATAAGAAGTAATGTTTCATAATTATTGTTTTTTATTTTCTGTTTCATTAAACAAAGCAGTTAATACAAAAAAAAGTAAACACACAAAGCATCATCTTTTTTGATCAAGTCTAATTATTCACATAGTAGAAAATAAGCACAAAGTGTGTTATCTTTGAGAATGGCATTACCACGATGTCCTTATTGGAAAAAAGTTTTTGTTTTTTTTCTTCTTTTAATAGGCCACACAAAAATAAAACAAAAAACAACCTTGAATGAACTGCTTAATGTAACTGAAGTTTCTGGTTTTTTTTGTGCCTCTGACCCTTTGACCTGTGCTGGGTTTTTTTTTTCCAGAGTGTTTCCAACCTGCCTCCTTGTGGACAATCTCTGAGGGTTGTAGCCAAAGATATCGGTAACAGGGTTTACACCAAGTACTGCATACATCAAAAGCACCAGAATCAGACAGTGGAGAAGCTGGAGAGTATTTATTATGCTTACACAGATCTACTGGCCAAAGATACAAAGGTAAAACCAATTATATCGGACTAATCTAGATCTTTTTTTTTGTTTGTTTGTTTAGAATTCACCCAAAACACAAATCCTAAAATTAGACCCCCAGTTATTGACTATAATAACCAAGAAAATTTATTATAACTGTATTACAATTACACCGTAACATTTTGTTGAACAATATATTAAATTGTAGCCAGTCCCAATTCCCCACCTAGGATTATGTCCTCTACTTTAAGTTAAACAGTTTCAATGCTTTAAACATTTTTCTGTTGATGACCACCAATAAATCATCAAATTGATTTTGATTCATACATTTTATGAATACAATTTGTTCTATTAAAAGCTTTCATTGTGGTAAATTCCCCTAACTCATTCTGTATTGGAAGACATTTATGAACATGCATTTACCGTATGTACCGTTTTTTTTTTTTGTGCAACCTAAATAGTGCAATAGCCAATTGCTTTTAATGTTTTTGGAGCTGTTTCCCTTTTTGTAATTTGTCCAACAACAATCCAGGTGTGCAGTAGTTCACAAGTTAAAAAAGCAGCCCAGAGTCACGTGAAATTAACTGTCTCTAACTGTTAATGGGTATACATGCATAGTCAGGAGACCACTACAAAATTTTCAAAAAAGCAGGGATGCATTGTGTAAACCTGCTAAGTAAAACATTTTAACCCGACTACCCCATCTTATCTGTAAAACATGGTAGTGGTGATATTTTTTGAGCTTTTGTGCATTGCGTCTAGAATGGGGTGTCCTGTCTTCATTGTTGAAACAATAACATATTAGATTCATTTGAGGCATTCATGGCCAAAGTGGTTCAAAACATCCTACTTCATACTAGGGCATTAACAGAGTACTCGAGTAATCTACACGTCGATTGCTAGGACATCTATCGAGGTTAAAAATGTTATGTCGAGTATCCGTAGTGACGTCATATTATGTGACCACCGTATGACCGTAGGGGGCGGTGTTGCACTGTTGCAGGTCACAGAGTATGGTCTAACACCGGACGACACACTAATATTCACTGGTCTGGGCAGGACCTAGAGGATTGTTGTCATCTTAAAACTACTCAGATCAGTAAAACTTTCGTTTTCATGCAAACTCTGGTTGTGACCAGGGGCGATTCTAGAGTCTGACCTTTTAGGGGTGCTCAGCCCCCAGTGCTCACAATGGCTCTTTGGCTTGAACAATGTTAGAGCTGTCATTTCTAACCCGAGCCCTAAGCTCGGCCCCACCTGATCCGAATTTGAGGCGGGCTGGGTCATGATAATGTGCTGGGTCGGTGTTGGGCTTTTGATTGGGTCAATGGATCAGCTGCGATATAATTATATGATAATATGGCCTTCCGTACTCCACATGCAGCCATTTCACTGCAAGCTGACGGACCCTTAAAGAGGTAAAAAGTTCAGTTAAGTTTTTTCCCAACTTAGTTTAGTTTGTGGAATGTAATAATCTGTATTCCACTCTAAACGCTCAGGGTAACACTGTCTGGATTACATGTCCCCCACTAACAACGTTTAATCATTTGTCTGATGATGTTTCACAAAATCCCTCTGACCACAAAACATCCGTACAGCAAAGGAGCCACAGCAAACCCAGTCTTGTAAATGGCCTCTTCACATCGTGGGTCAACCAGTTTGATGGTGCTCAGATGGTTTCTGGAGTCCACCCTCTCCCCCGCCGACTCGTTTAAGGCAGTCATGGCCAAAGTGGTTCAAAACATCTTAATTCATGCTCAATAATCCAGGTATGGTTGAAAGATTAAACGTTTCAACAAAAAGAAATCGTCCAGAGGACCTGCCTTAACTTTGTTGGATTTTTCTACCTGGATTATTGAACATGAATCAGGATCTTTTTTGTTGTTGCTTGTTTTTAACCTAAAGTTGGAAACATGACTGTTATAAAGTTAAGTCTCTTTGACACATATGTGTTGACAACATTGTCTCGGCTTGGTTGACTGGCTGTTTTTTCCTTAATGGGATTTTACAGCCAGCATTTCTGCCTTTGTGTTGTGTTGGCACCAGTATACCTGCGGGAAATGTGAATGTGATCAAGCTTATAATGAGCACGAGCTTGTTAAAACTGCATCAGTCACACTGAAAGTTAGTGGAGGTCCTTGTTTTTATGGGCTGATTTCACATGCAGCCTTTGTAGTTAAAATAATAATTGTGTTTTTCTGACTGCTCATTTATTTTTTCACAGTTCATTATTATTATTTTTAAATTATTTACTTGAAGTTTTGAAGCTAAACACCAAAGATTTGACAAATCTGCCTGTAAATTAAGATCAATTTTATTAGTGTGGGCAAAAAATTACTGTTAAACATATATTATATAATGCTAATAAACATTTACTTATGTTGTGTTGTGCTCCAGGTGTGTAAAGTCCTTCCCAGGGAGCAGTGGTGTCAACTGGAGGTGGAGCAAGGTATCGGACCCTTGCTGCAGGGGGGCAAGTCGAGCTGGCCATTTTCCATCACCCTGGAACTGGGCACGCATCTGCTGGATCTGATGGTGAAGAGCCTCAAAATCAACAGCGACATCTTGAAACCATCGCCCAGTCAGAAGCTCATTCCCATCCTCTACCACATGTATACCTTCCGCAGCAATTTACAGGTACGACTGGTGAGCACGAGTCTTTGCTTGTACTCACTGGGTAATTTCCCACAGGGGTATAACTGTAAGCACATGCTTATAAGAGCTGGAGCCCATCGTGATTCTTGCCTTCACATCAGTGTTAAGGTTACATCCAGGTTATTTTAAACTTTTAATGTCTGCTAACAAGATTTCTGAACATTAACTCTTCTTTTTTCCCCCCAACCTAGATGTAGGTGAAAAAGTGTGGTCTAGAATTCTACTTAAGGGTTCGCCTGAGCAGTAATGTTTCAATATAAAAAAATAGTATTAGAGGAAACTAATGGCACATTTTAGTAATACTACCAATAATCAAGTCAATTAATAGGACAAGATTTGGCTCATGATTATTAAGGGTGCACCGATAAATCGGACAACTGATTTATTAGCCGACTGATTTATCAGCACTGATTTCCTTAATTTTGGGAAATCGGCCGATACTTGTATGAGAAACCGATTTTACCGATTTTTTTTTTTAGCTTTAACAACAATTGTCTGAACTTCATTTATATTTCAGAGCACTACCTGATGACCAGTTCAACCAAGTTTGTATTGTTTCTAGAATATTGTTCAGGGGTATGTTTTTCAATAAAATAATATTGGAAAATTGAAGGTGCATTGTGACCTTATAACACCTGACAGTGTCGCTTATACAATAAAATCAGTATCGGCCAAAATCGGAATCGGCAGGTCAGACTTTTTAGAAATCGATGATCGTGATCGGCCAGAAAACAGCAATCGGTGCACCCCTAATAATTATACAGCTTAGTCTATACTTATGTAAAGAATGGGGGGAAAAAAGCCCCAGAGGAGCAGAAACAAAACCTTAAAATTGACCTTCACTTCACTTGCAAAGACCTTTAAAGCCTGTTACCTTGAACATTTGAGTGCCCTTCTTTCAAGCATGAGCCTGCAAAGAGTGTGATTTATAAAATAATACATTTCCCCTGGTGTGAGTTGGTAGTTGTAACAGTTGAATAAGATGATAAAGTTCCAGCCTAATCCCCTTTTTTAGTGTCCTCTTAATTGGCTTGCTGGTTTACTGCCATGGGAGCCAGCAGAAGGGCGAGGTGTTCGTGAAATAGAGGCATAGTTATGGATTGCTTCTTCTTCGTGTGCTTAAACAAAGAGACGTATTGTTACAATATTTAATTCTTGTTTGATTCTTTTTACCCGTTCTATTTTTCAACATTTTATTTCTGTGGTCATTATGGATGCTAATGATTTTACAGTACAATGTGATGTTTTGGTTTTTTTTTATCGTTGGGGAAACACTGAGGTCTTTCACTCAGGTTGTTGGCAGCAAATGATCTTTAAGGATACTTGTTTAATTAAAACTAGAGAATAACAAGTTTTTACCATCAAAACATCTATTTCGGAAAAACTTACCTTGCCGCTTACAAAAGTTCAAAACTAAAGACGTTAAACATGATCAAGTGCAAAAACCACACGTTTGAATTTAAACAGTATATTTGAGAAGCTAAATTAGGGAATTAATAAAATATGCTAATTAGCTTATTTTAAACATTATTTTAATGTTCTTGAAGAAACAGCTGGCCTTCCTGCTTGAATTTTAAATATAGCGTATTTATTGATAAAAGGTTGTTTAACATGAAAGCTTTTGTAAAACAGATGCATATATATTTATTTGTGACCTGATTTTGTTTGTTTATTTAAATGTTTTTGTCATTATTAACTGCAGTCTGATTTTAAAAGCACATTAAACTGTTATTTTGATAGCATTAGCACTGATTTTATTCAAATGGATTGCATGTTTTTGTTTTGGTTTCATTTAAACAAATGTTTGGGTTGTGCCAGACAGCAGCGCTATGATAAGGAAAAAAATAGCTCAAAACGTGGAAAAATGTAAATAAATCAATTTGTTATTACAGATTTAGATTTTTGAACAACTAATGTTTCACTTAGCAAACTCTGAGCCATCAGTAGTCATATAACTATTTTTACATGTTTGTTTATTTGCCCAACCTGTTATTGCATTAATATATGTTTTTAATTTATAACATTTTCATTACCTGATTTTGCCTAAAAATTAAATAAGCACACTAATAGGATGAAAATGACATAACTAAAGTGATTAATACTACCGGCACTTTAAATTTGATTTTTTTTTGTTGTTGACTTTTTATTGACCAGATTGGCTTCATCAAACCCCACCCCATCCTGAGTCAGATGCAGCAGGGAGCCATGGAGACCAAGCTGACCTTTGACTCCTACGTGATGCCGATGCTGTGCCCCCCGGTGCCCTGGACCACAATCAAGTTTGGAGCCTACCTTCTCACACCGACCAAACTGATGCGCACAATTGATGGAGCCACCCATCACAAGCTGCTGCTGGAGAAATGTCAGAATCTTCAGGCTGTCTTTGATTCACTTAATCAGCTAGGGAACTGCGCCTGGAAGATTAATAAACCAATTTTAGACATCATTATTTCAATCTTTAATGACCGGGGTTCCGATAAGCTGGATATCCCTCCACCTTTGTCTGAAGCCCCCAAAGTACCCTATATCAACTTTCATGACTCCACTTTGTCGTCCAGCGACAAGGCCAACATGAAGAGGCAGGCGATTCAGGCCAAAAAGAAAATCAATGAGATGCACAGCTTGCGTATGGATGCTCTTTACAAACTCTCCATTGCCCAACACATGCGTGATGAGATCTTCTGGTTTCCTCACAACATGGACTTCAGGGGACGCACCTATCCATGCCCTCCGTATTTTAATCACCTGGGAAGTGACGTCACACGAGCGATGCTTCTGTTTGCAGAGGGAAAGCCCCTCGGTCCCAAGGGTCTGGACTGGCTAAAAATCCACTTAGTCAACCTGACGGGGTTAAAGAAGAAGAGCTCACTGCAGGGACGTCTAGATTACGCCAACGAGATTATGGAAGACATCCTTGATTCTGCAGACAACCCTCTAAATGTTAGTCTACCGTTTTTTTTTTAAATTCATAGAATTTTAATGTTGCATATTGTTTTCTTCTACTACGTTTTAGTTTTAAAGTAACTGTGGCTTTCTTTTTTACTTTGCTTGTTCACTAGAAGATATTTGATCTCTTTTGCTCTAGATAAGTTCATTTTGTGGGCAACTTATTATAAGTGATTAGCAAAACGCTGCTTTCCTGAAAATGTCTGTCTAAGCACAATAATGTGCTTTTATTTTATTTGATTTTCAGGGTAAAAAATGGTGGATGGATGCAGACGAGCCATGGCAAGCTCTGGCCTGCTGTATGGAAATAGCCCATGCAGTAAGATCACCTGACCCAGTGCAGTTCATCTCTCATTACCCAATTCACCAGGTACTGCAGAACCTCTAAAAATCATCTTAACTCAATTTTCATAGCATTTTATTGCATGCTAATGATTTGTTTATCTTTAATGATACATCAACTCATCATTTAGAATAAACAACAATACTTTTTTTCTTAGATTTTGTTTTCAAAAAGTTACTAATCGTTGACAGGGCTATTCAACTGGCAGCCTGCGGGCCATTTCCGGCCCACGGGTGACTTCAATCTGGCCCACTTCATTAAAAAAAACTATTTGGGTTCTGTTTATTGCGTTTATGATTCAATGCAATAAAATAAACACATTTAAAAGGTAACAGATCATTTTAATACTTGGTTTATTTACACAACGACTTTAATTGCTGGATGTCCGGCCCTTGAGCTGCTGGTTTTCCCTGAGCAGTTTAGTTGAATAGCCCTGCTGTAGAGAGTTCTGTAGCCTTCTTAAATGAAATGTACTTTTTGGTAAAAGTAAAATTAAAGTTTAAAACCATTTGAGTCCATTTTATGTTACCTGTCATAAATGTATAGCCATGTTCTTGCAACCCATTAAATCTCATCATCACAGAGATATGACATTTGAGTGCCTGAATTTTTATACAAATTAGCCAAAAACTCATTTAGACTTTTATAATTAATGACCAAGAGTAATCACAGATGAACTAAAAAGGTCATATTTTAGCAGAAAATGTGTTTTTTCTGTTTAACTTTGTCAAAGTTTTTCTAAGTAAAGCTTTAATATCTTTAGTCTTCCCCCCCACCAGCCAAATCATTCATGTTAAGTTTAGCAAAATATTTTCTACTATTCTAGGTTCATTAAAATGTTTCTCTTTATCTCTGTTCTTTCTACCCTTCAGCACAACTTTAATTGTTTTTTTCTCCTGTCTCTCCTGCTCACCTTCAGGATGGCTCCTGTAATGGTCTTCAGCACTATGCTGCTCTGGGCAGGGATGTTATTGGTGCCATGTCAGTCAACCTGGTGCCCTGTAATGTGCCTCAGGACGTATACAGTGGAGTAGCACAGCAGGTGAGCAGCGCTGGACCCTTTCTCTTTAATTTTCTGATGTTTTGTTCCTTTCTTTGAACTGTCTTTGAAAGTCTTGGAGTTGCACAGCCGAATTGTGGAAGATTTATTTTGCAAGGCACGTTACAGTTGCTCAACTCTTAATATTCAGATGATTCACTGAGTCCCAACGTGAGTGGCAAGCTGAGCATATAGAACATGTTTTTTTTAGGTCTCTAAGTTTAGGTTGTGCATTTAAAAGTGCTTTGTTTCCCAAGCTCTGCATTAAAATGGAGATGAAAGAGACTGGTGTGTCTTATTTCTGAAGGCTCACTTTCTGTTTGTACAATGCATGAAAGAAACAATTTCTTTAAACCTTTAAGTTTGGTCCCTGTTGTGATCTTCTGATGTTTTGAACATGATTGAATAGCAGCTCTTCTGAGGGCAACGAGTAACTCCAGTCATATTGCTGCAAGTTTTTATCTCTGTGAGTTTTGTTTTCCTCTGGGTTTTGCCATTATTATTAGATAACACTGTAGATGATTTCAGGCTTGTGAAACATTAAGCTGTCTGGGTAAATACATTGGGTTTGCTCACAAAAGTAAACGTTACATTCAAGAACTCTGATGATAGTTATGGAGTTTGAGACTAAATGCATTGATAAATCCATTAATGGGGTTCTCTGTCTAAAGCTTCGGTAAAGTTTTGTTTTTGTCTATATTTTTCAATTTATTTGACAAACAATTAATATATTGGACAACATTGCTTTAAATGTTTGGGCTTGCATCAAAAGTCATTGCTTAGAGTGTTTTGATTAAAAATAACATTTATCTAACGGATGTTCATATAAATAATGGACTAGCGTTCCTGTGTTTCAGGTGGAGGAGTTTCGAGCGCGGGATGCAGAGAAGGACATAAAGATTGCCCAGGTGCTGAATGGCTTTATCAACAGGAAGGTGGTGAAGCAGACGGTGATGACTGTGGTATACGGAGTCACTCGCTATGGGGGACGCCTGCAGATTGAGAAACGGCTAAAGGAGATGGATGAGTTTCCCAAGGTACAGTAATAGTGACGGTGGTGGTGAGTGAGGAAGTTCACATAGGAGGTGCATGAAGCTAGAAATGTTCAGCGCTTGTTTCAGTCTATTATTCATGATAACATTAAAGTGAACTAAAACCTTGCATGATTACTTCACAAAGGTTAAAGCGACACTCGAGAGTTGAGCCTGTTAAATATGTTGCAATGCTGCTTAGAAATGATATTCTGCATCAATTCGTGTAAGTTTGAGCATTACAATTTTTATTTTTTTTTCGATTGTTTATTATGGAATTTTAACCACTTCTTTCTTTGACTCCAAATTCCAGCAACTTTAGGGGTCAACTTTACCAATTTAAGATAAAAATTTTAATCTGTAGCTAGAATCAGTATTATCTGTTTTTTTATTTTCATAAAACTAGACATCAGAAACTTTACAAACTGAACCAAAACAACAAACGCAACCAATAAAATAAAACTTTACCTCGTGAACGATGGCATCAGTGTGATTCCTCTCTCAGAAAACTTAAAGCCAGCAGATTGTTCTAAATAACTTCTGCCCACTTCTTTAAACAGGGAACTGGGTGAGCCTGTAGCTGATAACAGCTGACCACAACGACATGTTTCTTTAATTCACAGGATCATGTATGGGAAGCATCTCATTATCTGGTGCGTCTGGTGTTTAATGGCCTAAAGGAGATGTTTACAGGAACTAGAGAAATTCAGGTGAGTTCATTTCACATTGCCCCCCACCATCTCATATTGTCACTGCAGATCATTCCTTTCAATTATTTTCTGAACTTTTGATTTTATTTTACAAACTGGATTCCAAAAAAGTTGGGACACTAAACAAATTGTGAATAAAAACTGAATGCAATGATGTGGAGATGGCAAATGTCAATATTTTATTCATAATATAACATAGATGACAGATCAAAAGTTTAATCTGAGTAAATGTAACGTTTTAAAGGAAAAATATGTTGATTCAAAATTTCACAGTGTCAACAAATCCCAAAAAAGTTGGGACAAGTAGCAATAAGTGGCTGGCAAAAGCAAATTGAGCATATAACGAACAGCTGGAAGACCAATTAACACTAATTAGGTCAATTGACAACATGATTGGGTATAAAAAGAGCTTCTCAGAGTGTCAGTGTCTCTCAGAAGCCATGATGGTAAGAGGATCACCAATTCCAACATTGTTGCGCAGAAAGATAGTGCAGCAATACCAGAATGGTGTTACCCAGCGTAAAATAGCAAAGACTTTTAAGTTATCATCATCAACCGTGCA